TCACGCTCCCTCCTTCTTACCCGCAGTTCGAGAACGTGATGTTCATCAACAAGATCAAGGAGCAACTGATGACCGAGAAATCCTGCGCCCAGGCCGTGAGCGCCGCGTCCCCCAGCCCCCAGACCGCAGGCCCGCAGCCCCCGAGCTCCCAGCCTGCGGCGCCTCAGCAACCACAACACAACCAGGCACCGCCCGCTCCGCTGCAGTCGTACCCCGCGGCTCTGGTCGGCCCGGGTCACGTCGACCCTCCCGGCGGGACCGCCGATGACGGAAACCCGCCTCCGGCTTCCGAGAACGTCTCCGTGCTCCCCCTCCCCTCCTCCGCCCTCATGACAGGTGGGTTCTCCCTTCCCTCCCCCACCCCAGGCGCCCGTATGGACGGTCTCGGGGGGAGGGGGGGTGTGCCCGGTTGGAGGGTCAATTTGGGCACTAGGCCGAGAACGGAGCCTGAGGCCTACTCCGCTCCCAGACGCTCATCCAGTGGTCCTATGGGCGGGGTTCGGGGTTGGCGCGGGTGGAGGGCTTACCCAGGGGGCTACTAGGCTGAGAATGGAGCCTGAGGCCTCCTCTGCTCCCAGATATGAGCCCGACTGCGTCGGTCGCGGGCTGGGTTTCGCAAGTCGAGGGCTAAGCCGGGCGCTCGGCCGAGAATGGAGCCTGCGGCCTGCTCTGCTCCCAGACACAAGCCTGACAGCGTCACTGGCGGGCAGGGTGACACGAGCCGAGGGCTAAGCTGGGCACTAGGCCCATAATGGAGCTTGTGGCCTACTCCGCTCCCAGACGCTCGCCCAATGGTCCTGTGGGCAGGGTTCTGGTGTTGGCACGGGTGGAGGGCTGACCCAGGGGCTACTAGGCCGCGGACGGAGCCTGAGGCCTAAGCCACTCCCAGATGCCAACCCGACAGCAAAGTGCTGGGCGGAGTGATGCTAAACTGGGCGTTAGGCCTATAATGGAGCTTGAGGCCTACTCTGCTCCCAGACGCTCATCCAATGGTTCTGTGATCGGGGTACGGGGGTTGGCGCTGGTAGAGGGCTAACCCGGGGGGCCACTAGGCTGAGGACGGAGCCTGAGGCCTACTTCGCTCCAAGACACAAGCCTGACCGTGTCATTGGCAGACTGGGAGGGTGTGAGTTGTGGCCTAAGCCGGGCACTGGG